AAATGTTGACAAAATTGAATTCTAAAAGATGTATAGACTTTTTCTTTGTCAATACTAGAAGAAAATTGTCAACTATAAAAAGAAAAATAAATTTCAAATTAAGAATTAAAATGATTAAATGAGTTTTTAAGTGAAGGAATATAAAATTTTTCAAGAAATAATATTTGAGAAATATTAAAGAAGAGCTTGATATTGAATCTAATATCTGACTAAATGATATGATATTTTTGATTAAGATTAGTAGTTTGAATAAAAGATTTAATTTTAAATCTTTTAGATCTAAGTTTTAAATTTTCAGCAAATTTTTGATAATCAATTAATTAATATTATTGGATAAGAAGAGATGAAGTCATACAAGATTGAGACAAAATTGAAGATAGTTATGAGCAGTATATAGAGAAATTGTAACTAGTAAGACAAAGATTTTAAGATAATTAAGTTTTATGAAGAGAACAATTATAAATTTAATAAATAAATTTTTAAGAATGGATTTAAGAAGATCAAAAGAAATAATAACACTTTTTCAATATTGGAATTACTACTATAAATAAGATTAGTTAAGAATTCTAGTTATTGCCTAATCATAATACAGATAATATAATAAAATGAAACTTTAAGTACAGATTATGTAGAAGTGATAAACTTGATTTCTTTATCAGGATAAAAATCATAAAGAAATTTTTTAAGAAAAATAAAGAGTTAGAGAGAAAAAGTAGTTTGTAATTTGTTAATAGTTTACATTTCTTCAATAATTAGAAAATTTGCAAACTAGTTATATATAGAGTTAGATTTTGGTTTAATAATACTAGAATAGATTTGAAGAGAAGGTTTGTTAGAAATACTATCAGGTGAGATACTATCAGGTGAGATACTATCAGGTGAGATAGTATTATTAGAATTATTAAGATTTAAGTTAGCATTATCAGAAATGTTAGTAATAAAAGGTTGGTTAGAGATAAGATTAGTATTAATAGTTATAATAAAGAAGGAATTGATAAGATCAGAAGAAGTTGTGATTTGGTAATAGGAAATAATAAAGAAATTGGTGGTTTAAGAAGATTCATATAAGATATTTTGAAAGATTTAAATAAGATTTTTCTTAGTTTGAGATAAGTTAGCTTTATGTTAAGATGAGAAAATCATGCAAATGAGATAGTAGGCTTCATTATTTTTAATGATATATTTTTTATTAAGGTAATACCAGTCATTTCTCTTAGTACAACCAATTGGAAGAGAGCATTTGGAACAAATATGATAATATACATCAGGAATAAGAGTTAGAGAAATATTATCAATTGAAGAGAAAAAAACTAGTTAGAAGTTATTAGACTAGTTTATTAAGATTTTTTTTTGTATTACCATTAACATGAACTGTAATAAATTCAATAACTTGAATATAGTTAGTGTTAGAAGTTAAGATAAATTTAGTATGATATTTGTCACAAAAACAAGTAATTACAAAAATAGAAATAAGAACTTAAAAAAAATAAATAATTTTATTATTTCTGAAAATTTTAATTAGACAAAAAATTAGTTTGACTTTAGGAGGAATTGGACAAGCATTGTTATCATTTTTTTTTCATAAAGGGTAATTCCAAAACTATTAAAGAAGTTTTAGTAAAAATAATCAAGGTCTGTTGTATTAGGCTCTTAGTTATTTATTAGATATTTTTAAATTTGTTATAAATTAAATGAGTATTATATTAGAAACTTGAAATGATTTCTAATAATTAGATAATTGATTTTATAAGAATAATAGATGGAAACAAGAGATATATAATTAAGGTATTACAGATGTAATACTAGTGTATAACTAGAATGATTAGAGTCATAAATATAAATCAGATACTAGTACAAATAAAGTTTATAATACAAATTGTTGTGTACAATTAATAAGAATCAAATATGGAAATTATTAATTGTATTCAATGAATTTTTATTAATAGATGGGTTATAGATTTTAATATAAATTAATAAAGTATATATTGGAAAATGATAATATGATTACATGAAAGTTATGTAAAAAAAAAAAGAAATAAGATAGAGACAAAAGATAGAAATAGTTTTATAAGAGAATAAAAGATGAATTTAGTTGTAGTTTTATCAATATTGAGTTAGAATTCTTCTGTTAGATCTTGTTTTGATCAGACAGATATGCACTACAATGTTAATTAAAAATATAAGACAAGTTATTGCAATAGAAATTGTAAAAGAATTAATTTTCTAAAATTGAAGGTCAAAGACCATTAATACAGTTTTCTTTGTGAGTTTAAGAACTAGATCTATAATATTTTCAGAATATATGTAAATCACTGAGCTGAACAAGATTACTTAAGACACCAGGACAGATTGTCTTAGTAAAATAAATAATTATAAATATTTTTAGACAAACAATTTTTTTGTTAATTTTTATGCAATGGATTTGCAGAAAGAGTTTTTTTTTTGATTGAATATAATGCAACTTGTTAATGAAGATAAAATTTAAATTTAAAATATAAAGGTAATGATTATAAAAAGGTTAAAATATATTTGAGAACACAGGTAGATTATTAATCTATATTAAGAAAATATATGCAATTGATTTTAAGAATAAGTGACGCAAAACTAAAAATGTAAATCTTATTGAATAAGATTCATCAGGCTTAACTTTGTGACATTCGAACAACGCCCAGAGCAATAACAATAATTTTAGATTAAACTTAGCAAAAACCAGGCCAAAAGTCAAAAGAATACCCAAGACCGATATTTTAAGACAATACAGTAACCCAATTTATGTAGGATTAATAATATCATATGTATGTTAATGAACCTGGAGTGCTGGCACCACATAATAAGGTCCTTACTCAAAGGCTCGATCCATCTCTCTTGTTTGCATACCATATTTCACGTAATTATCAAAAAATTATAAATACAACCCGAATATAATAAAAAATTTCAGGGGCCTATGCACAAATAGATCATCATGTTCAGTACATTCAGTGCATTCAGCACACTTGGCGCCTTCAGCACATATTGCGCAATAAGATAATATAAAATATTTAGATAAAATCTTCTCTGCTTTAGTCAAAAAGGAAATGTGGCAGATCACAATAGAAGCACAACCAATAAATAACAGTTTACAACCTGATTCGAATACGATCTATCAAATTTCAGTAAAAAAAGATAAAAAGTTGATAAAATGTCAGATAACTAATAGTTTTAGTTTAATTATATAAAAGTAAAAAATTTTATTCACATTAGCAATCATAAATAATGCAACAAAAAAAAAAATTTAGTCAAATCATATTATCTTACGCAATTCCAGGCGTATTTCATAAATTTTTTTTTTATTTTACTTACAAATAGCAATATTATCATTAATAAAAAGGATTTAAAAATTTAATGATTAAAATTTTTGAGGGGAACAAGCTTTATTTCAATATACATGTTGCATTATTTTTGCTTGTTTTAACAGCAACACGATTGTAAAACTAAAAAATTTTTTTTACATAAAGAAAAAAAAATTTTTTTTTTCTAATAATTTTCATCTATCACCATTTGGTGTAGCCACCCCAGGCTCTAATTACATCACAGATTCGTTCTGACATTGAACGAATTAACCATATGCAGGTTTCAATATTGATTGCCTGCCAAATCATCTAAATTTTTTCTCAGAGATCTTTTTCACTTGAAATTTGACCAGGAAGGTCCCTAAGCCAACAATCAACTTTGTCCCAAAAGTGTTTGATCGGGTTTAGATTGGCCAATTGGGGAGGCCAGTCGAATAACTTAATCTTCTTCCTTGTAAACCAACATTTGGTCAAGGTTGTTATATGACAAGATGCTCCATCTTGTTGAAAAACAATTTCACTGACTTCAAATCTATAATCCTCAATCATCCACATCAAATCTTCACAGAGTATCTTTAGGTACAGATCTGTATCCCACGTACCATCGATCTTACAATAGCTGCTAACATCCTGAGAGGTAAAGCAATCCCAAATCATAATTGATCTGCTGCCATATTTCATAGTGGGCTTTACATGGAACTAATTTAATGGTTCTTCATGATGCTTCCAATAGTACTGCTTATCATCTAACTCAAAAATTTGGAATCTTGACTCATCTGACTAAATTATTTTGGACCAATCTTCAACGGTCCATTTTTCATATTTTTTTGCAAAAGCAAGCCATGTTTTTCGATGACTATCGCTTAGGTAGGGTTTTTTTTTTTTTACTCCTAACACTAAACCATGGTTTTGAAGTATCTGCCAAATAGTAAACACTGAAATTTCAATATCTTCATTTATTTTGAGGTTGGTCCTCACTTCAACAGCAGTAGAGCAGTAACAGGAGGTAATTAAATTTACTATTCTTCTTTGGGTTGGTTTATCCAACAAAGTTAGATGATCAACCCTTCCTAAATCTTTAAGTGTATGGTTTGTTAACCACTTTTTTCTAATTCATGAGACTGTGGAAAAATTAACATGGTGGGCCCGACCTACTGCTCTTGTGGTGTACCCTTTTTGAAGGGAAAGCAATATTTGGGCTCGTTTGGCAGAAGTTGTACAGTTCTTTTTTTTTTTATTTGTAAGCAATTCTAATATTACACAAGATGCAGAATCAACAATGAAACTTCCATTTTTATATGTTTTATGGGGCACAACTCACGCGATCTGATCTTTGTCAAAAACGATCAAAAATAATGCAACACGTGATTTGTAATAAATTCACAATTATCTTCGCATTGGTAATAATAACGATTATTAAAATTTTGCTATCTAAAAAAGATAGTATTTGTGAATAAAATAAAAAAAAAATTTAACAAATACGCCCGGAATTGAGTGAGATAATACGATCCGACTAAATTTTTTTTTTGTTGCATTATTTATGATCGCCAGTTGTATATAAAAGCTAAACCATTTTAATATACACATATAACTAAAACCTATTCATAATATTATACCTAAATTTAAATTTTCACCAGAAATAATAATAAAACCTTTTCTATTATTACATTTTTAAACATCATTTTCTTCACTTTCTAATTGAAGATTATTGGTAACATAACTTTCATATAAAGGTTCATTATCGGTACCAAAAAATTTAAATAATTTTAATATAACATCATTCAATAAAGCAATAGAACTAGTTAATAAAGTCAAAAACGGAATTGTTGTATATTGTACAGTATTAAAATAAAATAAAACCTAAAATAAAAAAGGATTTAAAACTAAAATTTAAAAGAGTTTAATTATTTAATGACATCTGATATAAACAAACCTGTATAATTAGTTGTGGAATATTAACTATAGTCACCCAATATATTCATCGTTTAACAGAATTTGAAAGTGGTGCATTAAATATTGAGAATCCGGCAAAATTTGAAGTTAAAAATTCTAGTAAAACCACATTTGCACCTGAACATATAGTGAATAATGAAATAATGCTTTTATATCCATTAAACCATTTAATGAATGGCCTGTTTGTCTTTAATTCATAAATTATAAATATTATTGCAGAAATCAAATTAAATGTTTTTGAAAAAACCAGTATTACAATACTTTTTATAAATAGGAATATAAAAAGATTAACATTTATGATTAGTATTTTTTTAATATTTAATTATGTACAGTTTAATCTCGATATATACTCTCATTATATAACGGATTCTGCAAAGGTGAATCCCTTGCTATACATGTAAATTAAAATTATTATGAAAATTTGTTAACTTTATATGATATGAATATTGTCAAATGAATCCAAAAACTTTACTATAAAGATTTCCAGAATTTTATTTGTAAATATTCATATGTTTGGGTGTATTTATACCGAGATTGTTTTATAGTAAAGTTTAAAACTAACCTGGGTATATAAAGATTCGGCCGTGAAACATCTCTTCCATTTATTGCAATAAATAAAACATCCATAACAAAATCAAACAAAATAATTATTACACTAAGTATCATAAAGTTTTGTCCCTAGATATACGTTCATACATTAAGCAATTTAGAATTTTATCTTTCAAATTCTTATTTTAGATAGTATATTTATAATCGTTTTAATATTACCTCCGGATATTTATAACGAGCCCACAAAATGATGGGAGTTAAAATAATGAATCCAATTAATAATCCGAGTAATTTGGATTTAATTTCATCCCATAAATTTACTAAATTTATTTATATAAAAAATATTTATTGGGAGTATTATTTGATTTTAAAATATAAATTTAAAATAACTCACCGTTCTCTATGAATCCATATGTAGAATCTAAATATTTTGTATAATTATTACTTTGATATATTACTGTATTTTTATCTTTTATTAATTCCTTTGTGTAATTGACGATTTTATCAACGCTAGTTTGACAAATATCTGTAGGATCTTTAGCTTTCAAAATTTTTAATTGTATTAAATATTGAGAAGGCGATGATACATCTTTTTGAAATCGATTTGTATGCTGTATTCTGTCTGGAGACGTAGGAATACTCTTTACAAGTTCTTCCGTTAAGTTGTTAAGAAAGTCCAAATCAATTGTTACATTGTTCACAAGTACAGTACCTATAGTTGTATCTTTATAAATAATTAAATCTAAATATTATATTTAAAAATATATATAGACCTGACGTATATTAAATAATTTATCATTTACCTGAAAATTTTTCTTGATAACTTTCTACAATATGTGAGGTATTATTAATCAGCTGTGAAATTTATTACTTGCATGTAAAACAGTAAGTAATAATAAACGTGCTCACGTGGGTCACATGTAATTGATTTAAAAGTCCATTGATTTTTTTCAATACCATACTCAGAAATACCATACATAGGCTCATTTGTCGAGTCAAACGTAACAAAATTATTGTCCATTTCAATTTTATACGTAGTATTCCATTTATTAAAAATACTTGACATAACATCACATGAAAGATTTTTTTGTGTGATTTTACATTCTGAATTCGAATAAAATTTTCTGAATATTGATTCATTGGTGTTTGCATTAAGGTAATAGATGGTAAGCTTCTCCAAAGAGGGCGAGGATCTAGAAATGTTGCTCGAAAAAGTTATGTTGATAGAATTGATATTTCCTGGTACGATGGGTTCATTGATCTGGGGATATGTTGAAATAATATTCGGATTTTTATAATCATCTATTATATTTAACAAGTATTAAAACCATTAAATAATCTAGATTTAAATTTGAAACAAAATAAACTAATTATTATGCACTTACTGTAATTACTGTAATTTCTCAAATTTATACTAATGATTTCCCATTTATTAGGAGTATACCTTACGTAAAATATTAAAGTATCATTTCTCATTAAATTAAACCCCGCACTTCGAAAAGTGTGACTTTTTGGATCAAGTTGAGTTAATTGAGACAAGTTCCATGATATAATTTCGGTGCCATTAGCCATAAAAATAATTCCAGACATATTTCGATATACTATTGATTGAATTTCTTCAAGTTCAGTATAAGCATATTCAGAATTAGGTTCTGATTCCCAATTAGTAACAATATATCCACCAAAAAATGAAGGTTTGATATCGAACTGCGAAGTATTAACTGAACTAATATCTATAGGTTTAAATTTAATTACAGAGCCAGAAGACAAAAAATTAATTTGATATGTCGTAAATTGTGAAGAATTGGCATCTTTAGTAGTCTGTTCTGTAAACACGCATACATTCCCATGTTCACTATATTCTGACGAACATGAAATGTTTGCTATTTCGCTATTGTTTCTTGCGTGATAAAGTACTGAACCTTCTGAAATCTTAGGTGTTATGGGGTTTAAATATGTATAATTTATTAATAGATTTGTCATTGAGTTATTTGAAATAGTCACATTTTCTTGCTCTTTAATAATAAATCCATAATTTCCATCAACCGTTAAAATACACATTCAAGAGAAGAATTATTATTCAGAAGGGAAAAAGAACCACCGTTTAGTTGCTTAATATATTTATAATTAGGTTTCCTTATATATTTATAATTAGGTTTCCTTATATATTTATAATTAGGGTATTAAGTTACTTTGATCCGACACGAAATGGAATTTTACGCAAAGAATCACTTACGGCAAGTCATATGTAATCCAATGAACTAATGTATCGTTGGCTTTGTTATAGATTAAGAAGGAAGACAATTGTGTATTCATGACAAAATCTAACGTTGTTTTCTCATCGATAGGCCCACTTGCTACAATAAGACTACTATTCAAAATTATAAATAGAAATTTATGAAAATTTATTTAAAGTTTTAAAGATAATGACAATTTGACACAAACTCATTTATGGTATGATTATTGTAATCTATAACTCTTCCAGTGACTTGTATGTCGCCATTAATTTCAAGATCATAAAGCAAAAAGTAATATTCCGTAGTTAAAGGAAATATACGCGTAACATCTATCTTTTCATCTAGGTAGATATCTATTGTAGACACGTTTGGTAATAGTACATGAATGAATTTGTACACATCGTCGTTCTTGAACATAATTAAGAGACTGCCATCATCAGTTGAGCGCACGTCGAAGCTGTCATAGACGTCTAATAGATCAGTAAAATCATCTCTGCTACTCGAATATAATTGGGCTGGAGCGGAGGGGAGCGGAGTGGAAGACCTTTGAGCCTTACTCTACTGATTTCACATGATGTCCGGCTCCCACCCCCGTAATTGAATAGCATTAGTTGCTATAATAAAAAAAAGCTTTATCCCTGTAAAAATTTAATTGATCAATAATTTGATCATTGTTAATTGGAAAATGTATAATAAATAAATAGGCGATAAATGTTATAACGATATTTATTTTAACCAAATAAAGTAAATATTAATAAATTGCAAAGTCTTTAAAATGAAAAAACATAAAAGAATTTATATGCCTGAACAAAAGGCCGCAAGAAATGAAGCTAAAAGAAAAAGATTAGCTTCAATGCCACCTGAAGAGCAGTTAAGTTATCGTAATAACGAGTCAACGAAAAGGCAAGATCGGCGCAAACGTCAAAATAATATTGGCAAAGAAAATATGAATCAAAAGACAAATAATAGAAAAGACGCATATAATATTTATTTATTATTAATTAATAATTAAAAATCTTATATAATTATTTACTAACTAACTTGTTTAGAAAATCAAAATACATTACCACTACTGCTTGCTAGCCAGCTTTCTTATAATGATCACAATCTTTTAAAAAATTTTCGTAATGCGGTTGCTGCACTTAGATTTGATTTCTGTTCTATTTGTAAAGAGAGTTTTCCTACAATTACGTTAGTAAAAACAACAGGATTATGTTCTAGATGCAGTAGAGAAAGTTTGATTCCAAAAAGGTTCTCAGTTGAGAATGATATGGATCCAGATATGTAAAAAAAAAAATGCGTAGTACATGGAAAAATATTAAAAAATTGATTTTTTTTTTTTTTTTTTTTTTTTTTTAGGAGAAATTCCTGCTGAACTTCCTCAACTTAGTCAAGTTGAAGAGATGCTCATCGCACAGATTCTTCCTATACTAACTGTTTACAAGCTTCAAGGTGGGCAACTTGGTTATCAAGGAAATGTAATTAACTTTCCTCAAGATATTCAAGAACTTATTACAAAATTACCTTGAAATTCTTCAACAATTGATGCTTTAGTTATTTAAAATTTTGGACAGGATTTTACTTCATTTCAAGATTTTAAAATTAAACGTTCAAATATTTTGACCTGGCTAATGTATCTTAAAAGTAATAATCCTTTTTATTTCAATATTGAAATCGATCAAGATATATTACAAACTATTCCAGAAGATGGTTCTATATTTAATCGATTAAATACTATATATGATAATAATTTGAGTAAAGATATGACTTTTTTAAATAATAATGACATTCTCAGTACTTCTGAAGACTATATTAAACATTCTTTTATACCTATTTCAGTTTCTAAAGAAACCGAAAAAGTAGTTACATATTCTGAAATTAATCAACTTGTAAATTTGAATCCCAATATCCTGATCAACTGGCCTACTATTAAAGATAATCCTATAAGTGAATTTGAGGAAGTTGGCTATATAACGAAAGCATTTCCTACCTTATTTCCTAAAGGAAAAGCAGATTTATGTAGTACTCAACGATATCATCAAGTATATCCTGCTGAATATTTTGAACATTTAATTAAATATCATGATGGAAGATTTGCACAACATAAAAGATTTCGTTATTTTGCATTAAACTCTATAATGAGATGAAGAACACTTGAAAACAGTAAAATATGTGTACGTCAAAATTTAGAAGATGCAAATCTTATAGTAGAAGATATTCAGGAATTACTTCATACTAATAATTCATTAGCAAATCAAATTGTTCAATATGGCAATACTCTTCGAGGAACACAACCATATTGAAATAAAATACACAGTGAACTTGTTGATATGATCAAGCAAATTGGCACAAATGGGTTAATCTTTTTTATGTTTAGCACAACAGATTTACATTGGCCAGATCTTTACAATCTTATGCCAAATACTAACATAGCTGTTAGTTCAACACAAGCTACCCAAATGCGGTATCATAATTTAAATAATAATCCTTATATACCAATATGGTTTTTCATGCGTCGGTTTGAATTATTTTTAGAACACATGATAATATCTAAGTTTGGTTTTAATGACTATTGGTATCAGTATGAGTGGCAATACTGGGGAAGTACGCATGTACATGGCATTGGAAAAGTTTCTAATGCACCAAATTTTGACAGGAAAACTATGTATCAGGATGAGGATTTAATGAACGAAATGGTCACATACATTGATTCAATTGTTATTGTCATGAATCCAGATATAAACCAAGATCTAGCAACATATATTTCTGAACAGCATCCTTGTCAAAAACCAATAGAGCAATTAGTAGATGACTTTGACAACTATTGCCAATTGGTTAATAAAGTTCAAAAATATACAAAATGCTCACCTTCATTTTGTCTTGTATTAAATAAACGTACTAATTCAGAAGAATGTCAGTTTGGATATCCAAAAGAATTACGTGATTTTACTATAATTCAATCTGATGATAATAACCAACCAGAACTTTTATTACGTTGTAATGATCCAATAGTCAATTCATATTGCTGAATTTTTCTGCAAGGTTGGAGAGCCAATATTGACATAAAGCCTATTCTTTCCCTTCATGCTGCACTTTCATATGTCGCAAAATATGCTAGCAAATCAGAATTAAGATCAGAGGCGTTTAGTGAAATATTTTCTAATTACCTTGAAAATGCAAAATCTGATGAGCCAGCCTTAAAATCAGTACAAAAACTTTTATTACATATAATAACTGAAAAAGACTTTTCTGCCCAAGAAACATCCCATCTTCTCCTTAAATTACCTTTAGTCATATCATCTTGTATGTTCTTTACTCTTAACCTTAATGAAGATGACACATTATGTAAATTAATTCGTGATAACAACATGCAAAATAATGAACAAAGTTCATCAGTTAGAACTGAACTTTCTTATTTACAAGTTTATTGGGAGCATCCTTTTGGTTTGAGGAATATTCTTTATTTAGGTTAAATAAAAATTATATATTTAGCTCTTATACAAATAGATGGACCTCACGCAAAAAAAATTGTGTTATTTGAATTTGGCCTCACCCATCATCAGTTCGCCTTGGACCAGTGTAGAAAGATTATTGCAAATTAAAGGTCCTTCTTCATGTCTCTTATCAAAGTATGACTAATTTTTCTCAAGAAAGTACTGATATTGACTGGATTGAATTATATAATCAGTTTTTTGCTGTAATTGAAAGTGACAGAAATGATCTTCTTGGTGAACCTATAGATAATGAGGAAAACTAGGAAAGTAATAGTGACGAATATGAAGAGCTTGAGAAAGATAATACAATGATTCAAGAACCATGGATGCAAATAGTTACAAATAGTTCACAAGCTATAACTAATGATCTTGGAGAATGTTTTATAGATATTCATCATATGTGGTCAGGATCATATATTGCATTTCCAAATCTTAGTGAAGTAGAATCATTCTTAAAGCATGCTAAATGCGAACAAATTGAAACTACATTTCATAATGATAATGACAAAACTTTAATTGACCCTAGTACATTAAATGACAGGCAAAGACAAATTTTTGATTATGTAATTTTACATTATTCTAAACTTCTAACAAATTCGGATAACCAATTAATTGAACCTTTACGTGCTATTATTATGGGTACAGCTGAAACTGGAAAATCTTATATTATCAAAGTTATCCGTAATTGTATATTTGAAATAACATAAGAACATAATATTGATACAAAGGAAGAACCACCTATATTAGTTCTTGCGCCCACAGGTATTGCAGCATTTAATATAAATGGTTGTACAATTCATTCGAAATTCTTCCTTCCTTCAAATTTTAAAAATTTAGAACTCAAAGCTGAGTCTTTAAAAAAACTTCAACAAAAAATTGAAGGGTGTTAAAATTATCATTTTTGATGAAAAAAGCATGATCGGTTGTAGACTACTTGCAGTAATCGATCAATGCTTACGACAGACTTTTCCACAAAACCCAAATATTTTATTTGGAGGTTGTTCAATATTATTTTTTGGTGACTTCAGCCAGCTGCCACCAGTTTTAGATCTTCCTATGTATGTATTAGATTCTTGACCAAATGATCCTCTCTCAGAAGCAAGTCGCATGATCTATTCCCAATTTAATAAGGCATTTAAATTAGAAATTATACAACAGCAAACAGGTGATTCCAATGAGCAGCACATATTTCACAACCTTCTCTTGCATTTACGGGATGGACAATTGACAGAATTTGAATAGCAATTACTTAATAATAGAATTTGTTCATTAGTACTGTCAGTTGAAAAAAACTCATTTGAAAATGCAATTCGATTATTTACTAAATGGGAAAAAGTTGATAAATACAATATAATAAAATTAAAACAGCTCAATTTGCCTGTTGCTAAAATTAAGGCTGTACATACTGGTTCAGATGCTAGGAAAGCACCTTCAGATACAACAAATGGTCTCGAGCCAGTTTTATTTCTGTCAATTGGAGCTCGTGTAATGCTTACTTCCAATCTCTGAACCAATCAAGAGTTGATTAATGGTGCGATGGGTACAATTGTTGATATTATTTATGAATTTGATAAATTGCCACCATCACTGCCTACAGTAATTCTGCTCAAAATGGATAATTATATGGGTCCAACACTATCTACGTTAAATAATTCAGAGGTAGTACCAGTTCGCCCTATTAGATATACTTGGAAAGGAAAATCAGGAATTTGTTCACGTATGCAATTTCCTTTGTGCCTTGCTTGGGCAATTACGATTCATAAATCGCAAGGCTTAACATTGTCGCAAGCTGTGATAGACATTGGCAATAAGGAATTTGCTATAGGTCTTACATTTGTAGCTATTTCAAGAGTTCGTACCCTTACCGATCTTCTT